AAGTCCAGAAAGTCCAAAACATGAAATGGTGTGCTTCATTATTGACAGTCTGACACAACTCCTGATTTACCCCACTGGTTCCAAACATCAGCCATGAGTATCCCACTGGTAACAGACAGTAGCCATGAGTACTTATCCCACTGGTAACAGACAGTAGCCATGAGTACTTATCCCACTGGTAACAGATGGCAGCATTTTTTTTTTTTAATTGTGAAGCAGCCTTTTTTTTTTCAAATGGAAATATTCAAAATAAAAATAGCATTCTATAAGCTTGTTCTTCCAGTACTTTCCATTAATTATGTTTTGGGAAATGGTCATTTATACTCCCTTTGAAATTAATACATGTTCCTGTATTTGATTTTTTTTAACTTTTGCATAAAATGTGGGTTTACAATATGACCTCTTCTGCTGTAGGACTTCAGCCATGGAAAACATCCCTGTCATCAGCACTGTCATCACGCTGCCGCATGTGATTGTAGAGAATGTTCCTCTCCATGTGAGCGCAGGTATCAGGAGTTCAGAAATTACTGACTTAAAAAAAGCATACAATCATATTAACTTTGAAAATTTTTAGCTTTTTAGTATTAAAAATGTCTAGCATTTATAAAATTTGTACCTGTTTTTCCTGCTTTGATTATTTGAAACAAACCCCATGCCATTCAATTTGCCTCTTTGAGGGTCTCTATTTCTAAACATAATTTTAATGACTTCTTGAATTAGCAATGTATATGTATTTTTAATACTGGTCCTGGGGCTTGAACTCTGGATATGGGCACTGTTCCTGAGCTCCTTTTTGCTCAAGGCTAATACTCTACCACTTGAGCCACAGGACCACTTCTTGCTCTTTCTGTGATTAATTGGAGATAAGAGTTTCAAAGACTTTCCTGGCCAACTGGCTTCAAACCATGATCCTCAGATCTCAGCCTCCTGAGTAGATAGAATTGCGGGTGTGAGCCACCAGTGCCTGGCTGCAATAAATTCTTAATCAGATTTCAGTGCTAAAAATGTCCTAATTGACTGAAGGTCTTTCTTACTGGCAGTTGATAGTAGGTGTCATTCTGTCCATCTAAATGTATAAATAGTCTGATGGCTAACTTCTCGCTCCTATATCCAAGTCCTCTCCGTAGTGAACCTCTGCCACTCTTCTTCCAGTATTACTTTCCACATTACCATCTATCTCCTGCCACTACCATTTCCAGCTTTTCTTTTTTTTTTTTTTTGAGTCTTGTGGATTTTTTTTTTTTTTTTTTAATTGTGAAAATACTGTACAGAGGGGTTACAATTACATGGGCAAGATATGTATATATAGATGAATAAAAGTTTTATAGTTTCACTGAAAACATAACTTCGGGTTGTTTAGTTTAAGAATCAAGTTTTGGTATTTTTTGAATTTTTTAGATTATTTTAAATTACATTCAATTTCTTTCTTATATAAACATTTGATTCGGTTACAGCAAGGTACATGAGCAAGGTAATGAGCCCATTTCCTATTGAGCATTGTTACACCCTCCATTTTTTTTCTTCTGATAGCCAGACCCTTTCTAAGTCAATTGTTTTTAGGAGACTTACTGTGTTTTATCATAATTCCATAACTATTGTCCAATTAAAGAATTTTCTTATCTGGAAAAAATAGAGTAATACCATAATTTGAATGTTATTACATTCTATTGAATGAAATTATTTTACAAAAAGGACCCATAAATGATAAAAAGAACAAAAATGAAAAAGAAACGTGTCACCTTTTTCTGTAGATCTGCCGTCATTTGGGCGTGTCAGAGAATCATTACCTGTCAAGTATCACCTACAGAATAAGACCGACTTAGTTCAAGATGTGGAGATTTCCGTGGAACCCAGTGATGCCTTCATGTTCTCAGGTCTCAAACAGGTACAGGTCATTTTTCATGATGTTGCTGGTGTAGACACAAATATATGGTCCAGAAATGGAGCTGGATTTTTTTAAAATAAATGAACTGATTGAGTTATTAAGTCACTTAATCAGTATTTGAATTGTTTTGTTACTGAAATTTATAAGCACTTTTGAAAAAAGTTCAGATTCCTACAAAGGTGGGTTTCCCTTTTCAGATCATCTAAATCATTTAAGTTCTTTATCTTAATAAAACAAAAGTTCATGGGTCACCTTGCTATATTGTAAAATAATATACCAGGCAAACTTAAATTTCTCCCTTGTTTACTGAAAATTCTTCCTTTATTTATTCTGTGTGCTGGATAGGAGGGGTGCTAATTTGAGCCTAGAGCCATGAGTATACCAATGTTAAAAGCCTGTTCTGAACTCTCAGTGAAGTTGTAGGAAATTTTCATCTTGCACAGAATTTACTTTGATATGTGTAGATAAAATTTCATATAAATGACTCCAAACTTTTTATTTGTTCAGTCAAATTAGATGGGTACATTTTTATCAGGTTTTAAAAAGAGTCAACATAACACGCAGGCAAAATTACACTCCACTGATAGTACTAGAAAAGTATTTAACAGATACTCCTTGAGTGGTAGTACTTTCTATTAATAAAGGCCCAATTGTAATGATAGGAACAGACAATATGCAAGTGCCTGTTCTGACTAAACAATCAGCTTTGCTCTGTAGATTCTTAAATGCAAAAATATAATTATATATGAAGTATGCTTTAATATCCATGTATCATATTAAAATATTAAATAGGTATATATATAAAGTATTTCTGATATATCATATGCATATATATGTGTGCACATATCTCAGTTACAAATGAATACACTTTGCTCAAACATCCTGATGTTTTCAGGTATTTATTTATAAATTGTTATGAAATATAACAATACTAAATCATACAATTTTCATTCTTTAAAAATATTATTAAGATTCCAAACACCTTTTTTCCTGAAGTTGATTGTATAAGCAAGTGGTAAAATCACTAAAAGAAAACAAACAGAAACAACTGGCTTGTGTTACCTTGACCCATCTATAGAGAGTCATATTTGTGTGTGTGTACCTAGGGCTTAAACTCAGGACCTTGGTGCTTTCCT